TATCGCAGCAATGAACAACATCTCTGTATCCTGCCGACATCCCGGGCCAGTAGAAACGCTGCCGCAGCCGCCGCACTGTCTTAGAGCGTTTCCGAAATGGCCGGCTCCCGCTGCCCCATGAACCCAACGGAGGACCTCCGGCCGCAGAGCGTGGGGAACCAGGAGTTTGCAACCGGTCGATCCCCCCACCCGGCGCCTGCCACCGCCTATAGATCACGCCATCGTGGAGCTCCAGGCTGCCCCACTGAGAAGAAGCGTCTTGATCTCGGGCCCCTGGGAGGGACACAGCTGGCCAGTCCTGGACATGTTTGGGCCTCTAACCAACCCCTGACCTTCATCAGTACCTGATCATTCGCCTGTTGTTGCCTCAGCTGCTCGGTGGTGAACGGCTCCCCATCTCCACGGGTGTCACCCGGCCTTACTGCTGCTGACGATGGCTCCAGACATCGTTCTTCCTGGCGACTGCAGTATCGACATTCGTCAGCCAAAGCATGGACGTCTGGAGAGGGCGTCAGCGTTAGCATGCTGCCGCCCCGGTCGGTGTTGAACCTCAAAGTCGTACTCTTGAAGAATCTCGAGCCACCTTGCCACCTGACCCTCCGGCTGGCGGAAATTTAGCATCCAAGTGAGGCTAGCGTGGTCTGTCCTCAGTGTGAACCTGGTGCCCAGGAGGTAGGGCCTGAAGTGGCGGACGGCCAGGACCACCGCTAGCAACTCCCGTCGGGTGACGCAATAATTTCTTTCTGGCCGACTGAGGCTGCAACTATAGTAAGCAACCACTCGCTCTCCATTCTCCCCCCTCTGGGATAGTACGGCTCCGACCCCCACGTTACTGGCAGTCAGTGTCCACAAGGAACGGTTGGTTAGGATCAGGGTAGGCTAGGACAGGAGCGTCGATGAGAGCCGCTTTAACTGTCGAAAGGCCACAGCACAATCCTCAGACCACCCAAAACGCCGGCCCTTGTTTGTCAGCTGATGTAAGGGGCTGGCAATGGTAGCAAAGTCTCTGACGAACCTCCTGTAATAGGAAGCCAGGCCCAGAAAGCTCCGCAGCTCAGTGATGTTGGTTGGTGGGGGCCAGTCCCTCACCGCGGCCACCTTTGTTGGGTCGGTAGCCACCCCGCTCTCACTGACCACGTGTCCCAGGAATTGCGTCTGGCGGGTGAGCAAGTTGCACTTGGCTGGTTCAACGCAAACCAGCACTACGGATGGCTGTCAGGACCTCCCGTAAGTTGTGGACAGCCTGGTCAAAGTCTCTGGCATGGACCAACAGATCGTCCAAGTAAACCACACAGCGGGTGCGGGGAATGTCTTTAAGGACCCGCTCCATCAGCCTTTCAAAGGTGGCTGGGGCATTACACAGTCCAAAGGGCATCACTTTAAACTGCCACAGTCCTTGCCCTATCGTAAATGCAGTTTTGGGCCGGGCTTCTGCCGCCAGCTCAACTTGCCAATACCCACTGCGCAAGTCCAAAGAACTAAACCAACAGGATCCAGCTACATAATCCAATGCATCATCAATGCGCGGCAGTGGGTATGAGTCCTTGCGGGTGACCGCATTTAGTCGCCGAAAGTCCACACAAGGGCGCCACGCCCCAGTTTTTTCGCACCATGACCATAGGTGCAGCCCAGGGACTGTCTGAGGGCTCAATAATGCCGTTAGCTGCCATTTCTCGGATCATTTCTTCAGCAGCCTGGCGCTTGGCGAGAGGCAGTCTATGGGGGCGCAAGCGAATGGGAGCAGCAGGGCCAGTGTCAATGTGATGCTGCACCAGAGCTGTTCTGGTACAGTCCTCCTCACGGGCTGCAAAAATGTCCATAAACTCTGCCAACAGGCGTTGCAACTGCTCCTGCTGCGGTGTGCTCAGATGCTCACTGCTTCGCCGCCCCAACTCCTCAACAGCAACAACAGTTTCAGGTGATGGGGGGGCGGATTGAGCGTGCGGTGTTAGTGGTGGAGATGTATTGGTCTGGGCTCCAATACCCCCCCTGGTTTCCCCCTGAGTCTCTGCAGCTCTTGTGTGGCGTTTGGGAGTCGGAGCTTTTCCATGATGGCTCCGGCCCAATCGGAGCGGCACAGTCTCATTATCTAGGCATAGGGCGGCCCCCGGCACGTCAACACGTGCTCCCCAGTGGGATAACAAGTCCAAGCCAATAATGCACTCATCTCTGATATCAGCGAGCCAGAACTCATGGTTCGTCTGGCTCATCCCCACCACCACCGACAACAGCTTCTTTCCAGGCATTACTGTCCTTTCACCTGTGACGGTGAGCAGTTCGGTACTGGTGGGGGTCCAGTCCTCCGGAAGAGGACCGGCCGTTCCAGACAACAGTCCTTTGCGCAGCAAGCAAATGGTGGACCCCGTATCCACCAGGGCGCTGCAGGGCTGCCCGTCAACAACACAGTCCAGGTACAGTCCTCTGGCAGACCCGCAGCGTCCCACAGTAGGGCAGTCATTGTGGAGGGGTACTGAAGAACGGGGTGAGGGTCCCCTCACTGCCTCACTCCGAGGTCGTTTCCCGGGGGTGACATTGCGCGGGGCCGGGGGCTCGGAGCAGGGCAGTCCCGGGCGAAATGCCCCGGTTCTCCACAGCGGTAGCAGTGGTCTAGCCTCGTCCTCCGTCGTGGGGTCTCCGCTGGTTGAACTCGGCTGACCTCCTCCTCGGATCAGGCCACGTCCACCTCCCGTTCGACGGCTCTCGTCAGATGATGCTGGAGTGAAGATCGACCTGTCGCCGGCCGAGCCTGTAGCACCTCCTCAGCTCTCTCAGCCTCTCTCAGCGCCTCACTGAGATTTCGGGGTGACAGTAGGCGGACATGTTGGCGGAGCCGCTCGGGTGTAAGACCCCGCAGGAAAGCGTGGAGGCTCAGCTCTTCCCTCGCTGCGGCCTGGAAGGTAGGGTAGCCCTTTCGGGTGTAAACCCGGATGTCAGCTGCGAAAGCGCCCACACTCTCTCCTTCACATCGACGTCGGTTAGCTAGTTCCTCCCTGCTCTGTTCAGCGGAGGTTCTCTGCCCGAAGCGGCGGTTGAGAGCAGCAGTGAGGGCCTGGAGATCACGCCGCTCCTCAGGAGACAGATCGATAAGGACCTGGAGTGCGGGACCCTCCAAGGCGAGGGCCAAATGAATCGCCGTCTCCTCACAGCTCCATCCATCGTGGAGGGCGGCCAGGTCGACTTGTGCCAGGTAGGGTTCCAGGGGTGTCAACCCGCTATATCGTGGTAGCTTAGCGGGCGAACGTGTGAGGGCGCCGGGCTGGCCACTAATTTGGAGTGTCGGTGAGACGACTGGAAGTTCGTTCTGTCGGGGACCAGGAGAGTGGTACATGGCTCGGTGAATGCTGGCGCCGTCAGGCTGGTGCGGAGCCCTGCTCCTCCTCGGCGTCTTGCTCGTCAGACGCTCTAGCATGATGCTGTTCTCATGGATGGCACGCTCTAATTCGCCTATGCTTTGCTCCATAACGCCGTCTTTTAAACGACTTTTAAAATCCCACTTCTGACACCACTGTAATAACTGGTAGCTATCCAAATAAAACGTGAGTCTAATCGGAGCTAAATTAGGCTAATAACACTTTTACTAAGCTAAATCCTAAAATGAGATAAGAACACTCATGTCCCATACACCGCACGACCCAGAGTGTTTACACATCAACCAACAGGAGGCAGTAACACCGTTTTTCCTCTTTTAATGCAGAACAAAGAAAGAACTACTCAGGCAGGGCCCTATTGCCTTACACATCTCTCTCAACAACGGTGAGGGACACATTTTTACATTAGGCAGTAAATGAACCAAGAACATCTGATCAACTTGAACATTACACACATAACTTTACTATAACAACAACTTAAAGATCTTGCTGTAATAACACATAAATCAACTCTCAATAAACAATTACCCATAATGCACCCAGCTGCTAGCGCTGACTGCCAGGTCATTACAATATCACACAATTCTGACTTTATATCACACTATTCTGACTTTATATCACACAATTCTGACTTTATATCTCGCAATTCTGACTTTATATCTCGCAATTCTGACTTTATAACTCGCAATTGCGACTTTATATCACGCAATTCTGAGAAATAAAGTCAGAATTGTGAGATATAAACTCGCAATTGTGAGAAAAAAAGTCAGAATTGTGAGAAAAAAAGTCAGAATTGTAAGATAAAAAGTCACAATTCTTTATTATATTTTTATTCAATGGCGGAAACAAGCTTCCATACATATCTCATCAATACATTTTCACGCAATGCATTAAACAACTGAGTTACAGCAAACTAGAAAAAATAAAGATAACTTTTACATGCTTAACTCATTAATCGTATCTATCACGCCATGTCTGCTAGTAACTATGGAAGCTTGTTTCCGCCATTGAATAAAAAATAGAATAAAGAATTGTGACTTTTTATCTTACAATTCTGACTTTTTTTTTCACAATTCTGACTTTTTTTCTCACAATTGCGAGTTTATATCTCACAATTCTGACTTTATTTCTCAGAATTGCGTGATATAAAGTCGCAATTGCGAGTTATAAAGTCAGAATTGTGTGTTATAAAGTCAGAATTGCGAGATATAAAGTCAGAATTGCGAGATATAGTCAGAATTGTGAGATATAAAGTCAGAATTGTGAGATGTAAAGTCAGAATTGCGAGATATAAAGTCAGAATTGCGAGATATAAAGTCAGAATTGCGAGATATAAAGTCAGAATTGCGAGATATAAAGTCAGAATTGTGTGATATAAAGTCAGAATTGCGAGATATAAAGTCAGAATTGTGTGATATAAAGTCAGAATTGCGAGATATAAAGTCAGAATTGTGTGATATAAAGTCAGAATTGTGTGATATAAAGTCAGAATTGTGTGATATAAAGTCAGAATTGTGAGATATAAAGTCAGAATTGTGTGATATAAAGTCAGAATTGTGTGATATAAAGTCAGAATTGTGTGATATAAAGTCGCAATTCTGAGAAAAAAAGACAGAAGTGTGACTTTTTTTCTCACAATTGCGAGTTTACATCTCGCAATTCTGACTTTATAACACATAATTGCGAGTTTATATGTCGAAATTCTGACATCTTTTCTCAGAATTGTGAGATATAAACTCGCAATTGCGACTTATTAGGCCAATTCTTTTTCCCCCCATCAGAATAGTTTAAATCTCACAATTCTGACTTTATCTCACAATTCTGACTTTATAACTCGCAATTGCGACTTTATATCACGCAATTCTGACTTTATATCTCGCAATTCTGACTTTATATCACGCAATTCTGACTTTATATCTCGCAATTCTGACTTTATATCTCGCAATTCTGACTTTATCTCACAATTCTGACTTTATAACTCGCAATTGCGACTTTATATCACGCAATTCTGACTTTATATCTCGCAATTCTGACTTTATATCTCGCAATTCTGACTTTATCTCACAATTCTGACTTTATATCTCGCAATTCTGACTTTATATCTCACAATTCTGACTTTATATCACGCAATTCTGACTTTATAACTCGCTTTGCGACTTTATATCACGCAATTCTGACTTTATATCTCGCAATTCTGACTTTATATCACGCAATTCTGACTTTATAACTCGCTTTGCGACTTTATATCACGCAATTCTGACTTTATATCTCGCAATTCTGACTTTATATCACGCAATTCTGACTTTATAACTCGCTTTGCGACTTTATATCACGCAATTCTGACTTTATATCTCGCAATTCTGACTTTATCTCACAATTCTGACTTTATAACTCGCAATTCTGACTTTATATCTCGCAATTCTGACTTTATATCACGCAATTCTGACTTTATATCTCACAATTCTGACTTTATATCTCGCAATTCTGACTTTATAACTCGCTTTGCGACTTTATATCACGCAATTCTGACTTTATATCTCGCAATTCTGACTTTATCTCACAATTCTGACTTTATAACTCGCAATTCTGACTTTATATCTCGCAATTCTGACTTTATATCTCGCAATTCTGACTTTATATCTCGCAATTGCGACTTTATATCTCGCAATTCTGACTTTATTTCTCGCAATTCTGACTTTATATCTCGCAATTCTGACTTTATATCTCGCAATTCTGACTTTATAACTCGCAATTCTGACTTTATAACTCGCAATTGCGACTTTATATCTCGCAATTCTGACTTTTTATCTCGTAATTCTGACTTTATAACTCGCAATTGCGACTTTATATCTCGCAATTCTGACTTTATCTCACAATTCTGACTTTATAACTCGCAATTGCGACTTTATATCACGCAATTCTGACTTTTTATCTCGCAATTCTGACTTTATAACTCGCAATTCTGACTTTATAACTCGCAATTGCGACTTTATATTACACAATTCTGACTTTTTATCTCGTAATTCTGACTTTATAACTCGCAATTGCGACTTTATATCTCGCAATTCTGACTTTATCTCACAATTCTGACTTTATAACTCGCAATTGCGACTTTATATCTCGCAATTCTGACTTTATATCTCGCAATTCTGACTTTATATCTCGCAATTCTGACTTTATATCTCGCAATTCTGACTTTATATCTCGCAATTCTGACTTTATATCTCGCAATTCTGACTTTATATCTCGCAATTCTGACTTTATAACTCGCAATTGCGACTTTATATCTCGCAATTCTGACTTTATATCTCGCAATTCTGACTTTATATCACGCAATTCTGACTTTTTATCTCGCAATTCTGACTTTATAACTCGCAATTGCGACTTTATATCTCGCAATTCTGACTTTATCTCACAATTCTGACTTTATAACTCGCAATTGCGACTTTATATCACGCAATTCTGACTTTTTATCTCGCAATTCTGACTTTATAACTCGCAATTGCGACTATATCTCGCAATTCTGACTTTATATCTCGCAATTCTGACTTTATATCTCGCAATTCTGACTTTATATCTCGCAATTCTGACTTTATATCTCGCAATTCTGACTTTATATCTCGCAATTCTGACTTTATATCTCGCAATTCTGACTTTATAACTCGCAATTGCGACTTTATATCACGCAATTCGGACTTTTTATCTCGCAATTGTGAGAAAAAAAGTCAGAATTGTGAGATAAAAAGTCGCAATTATTTATTTTATTTTTTTATTCAGTGGCGGAAACAAGCTTCCATAGATATGTGCTCTATAAGCTAAACAAAAACCAATCGGAGTTGAACATGAGTTTAATGATTTGAAGTGTTATTTCATGCTATGTTGAAGCCACGTTACCACGTGATCTGCTAGTGCTTGAGTTTCATCAATGTAGTGAATGTATAAAATGAAAATAAGGATTTAAACTACTAGAGTTCATGAATGAGTTCTATTTCCAGAACTAGTTAATTTACAAATTATTGAGAGAGTAATTGAATGTTGCCCTGCTATGCAGGTTGGTTTTTTTGTTTGGATGCATGCTTTGAGAGGGAGTTACATTGGACGGATTCACCATCGGACACGCGAGGTAGAAGAGCAGAGGGCAAATTATGTAAGGGGCAGCCGAAGATAATCAGATAATCTCACATGTTCTCTGTAAGGGAAACTCCTACAAATGCAAAGTAATAAGGTCAGCCGCAAAAATAACGGCAGTTTTTAATGGCAAAAGGTTTGTATAATACAGCTAAAAAAAAAAAAATTAGAACATTTGCAAACGTTCCAATTATGTTATGAAAATATTATTTCAGAATGTTCAAAATCTCCAGGCTTTTTTAAACTTTGTCTCTTGGTTATTCAAACGTTGAGGGAACATTCCATTGTCTCATTCTTCAATCATTATTGGAATGTTCTGAAACAAGTAGATACATTTAAAAAACATTAGACAAACGTCCAAATAAACGTGTTTTTCATGAATGATATATAAATAAAGTTTTTTTGTAAAGTTTCTTAATAAAAGACAAGATGTTAAACAAACATTGTTTTAATGTTCATAACTTTGAGAGAGCGTCAGCTGCCCGCTGGGACGGTCAGAGCTGGACTCGCCGCTGTTCTCCTGTTGTGATGTCAGAGGCCTGATGTTAGCTTGGCCTTTACTCTCCCACTGCTTCTGCACCAGACACACACAACATGTGATCATATAGCCTACAGTATATTCAAACGCACATCCCTATAGACTAAACACGTAATACGCATGAGCATGCCGTCAGCGTTTACACAGATATAACCTTTTATCTCAATTTTAAAGGGTTTTCTGTTAGAGCGTTATCCTGTCAGTGGCCGTTAAGTTAATCAGTGGAAGTGAATCAATTTATCTGGACAGTAACTTTATCCAAAACAATCTGTTACTGTAATCTCTTATTATCACTGTAAAGCTGCTTTGAAACAATCTATATTGTTAAAAACACTATATAAATGCAGGTGACTTGAATTGTATTGGCACAATATTAGTCATTCAACCACGTTGTGGAGTAATAACTTATTTTAATGAAACGAATTGAGATTGAATTAACGCTGGATGATTTGATATATATTACAGACATGGCATCTGAGGACTATCTCTTTTTTCTGTTATTTTACTTTATTTCCAGATTCAATCATAGGCTTGTCTGTGCAGTTTTCAAAAACGACGCTTTAAATCTCTTGACAAACTAAAAGATGTAAATGACATTTGCGATGCTGTTTGTGAATATTCATTCAGATGTGTGGTACCTGGATCTCCTGCTCCAGCTCTTTGACCTTGTTCTCCTTCTCCGACACCATGAGTTTGAGCTGCTGGATGAGGGAGGCGTGTTGCTGGGCCTCATTGTGCAGCTGCACCTCCAGGCTCTGCTGGGCCTCCTCGCGCTGGTGGCCCCTCTGGCTGAGGTGCCCGAACATGGCCTGCCACTGCGACTGCTGCTTCTGTTGGAGGGGCGAGATGATCTACGTCATCTATTCACATCATTTATCTGCTTAGAAGCAGTACTTTATGAATTGTGTGTTTGAGTAATTGATTGCACCCAAATTTTCTTTGATATTTACCCAGTCAATTTGGAGGTGAATGCAAGAAAGTGCAAATTAATTGATTTTAGCGTGCTATTGCGTTACTTGAGGACCTTCCCCTAAGCAATGGTTTACTTTAAAGAAATGACCTTGGAAAAACTGAAACACACACACTACCGGTCAAATTTTTAGATCAGTAAGATTTTTTATGCTTTTAAATGAAGTCTCTTCTGCTCACCAAGGCTGCTTTATTTGATGAAAAATAAAAAAATGACAAACAGTAATATTGTGAAATATTATGACAATTTAAAATGACTTAAATGTAATTTGAAAGCTGAATTTTCAACATCTTGTGACCGTTTTCAGTGTCACATGATTCTTCAGAAATCACTCTAATATGCTGATTTTATGCTCAAAAAACATAAATTATTATTTTCAATGTTGAAAACAGTCGTGTGCCATTTTCCCCCCAAAATTATATGATGAATAGAAAGTGCAAAAGAACAGCATTTATTTCAAATATAATCTTTAATGTAACTTTTGATCAATTTAACTAATCCTTGATGAATAAAAGTGTTTTCTAATTTCTTTCCCCCAAAAATAAAAAAATAAATTCTTACTGACCCCAAACTTTTGAATGGTAGTGATTAATGTTACAAAAGCTTTCATTTCAGATCAATTCTGTTCTTTTGAACTTTCTATTCATCAAAGAATCCTGCAATAAAAATGTAAAAACAGTTTTCAACATGGATAATAATCATAAATGTTTCTTGAGCCTCATATTATAATAATTTCTGTAGGGTGACGCTGAAGATTGGAGTGATGATGCTGTAAATTCACAAGAATAAATTACACTTTACTATACAGTATATTCACATAGAAAACCACTGTTTTAAATTGTAATAATATTTCACAATATTACTGTTTTTTTAATCAAATAAAGCAGCCTTGGTGAGCAGAAGTGACTTCTTTTAAAAACATAAACAATCTAAAACTTTTGACCGGTAGTGTAGTTAAAATGAAACAAAGAGACTGGGATGATTGAACTATTCCCACTTCTCTTGTGTTGGACATATATACGTATATATGAAGAGTTCAGATGCAAAAGTCTCTAAATGCCATTTGAAATTTTCTTCTTTAATGATGATTTTTATCAAACTTGTATATTTAAGTTCAGTAATTTCACTTAAATAACAATTAATAGGTAATTATCATTGCCTTTAAAGTGAAATCACTGAACTTAAATAAACAAGCTTGATAAAAATGATCATTCTAGAAGAAAATTTCAAATGGCATTTAGAGGCTTTTGCATCTGAACTCTTCATATAAAGTGTGTTGTAATGTAAGAATGATCACCAGTAATGCGTGGACCAGCTCGTCGTCGTGTCTGCCCTTGTCCAGCAGAGTGCTGATCTGGCTCTTCAGGGCTTTGACCTCGGTGCTCAACACTTTGTTCCTGGCTCTGGAGCCCTCCAGTTTCTTCTTCACATCCGAGCTCTCTTCCAGCAGGACCTCATAGTCCACAGTGAGCTTCTGAAACACACGTGACGATCAGAGTGTGTGTGTGTGTGTGTGTGATGTGCAGAGTGAGCGGTAGAGATGATGTTGCACCTCCAGCGCCTCCTTCTTCTCCCGCTCCATGAGCCGGATGCGGCTGATGTTCCTGTCGTGTGTCTTCCTCCTCGTCTCCTCCTCGAGGCCTGGCTGGCTCAGATGATGCTCCAGGTCTCGCACCTGCAGTCAATATAAGGACCGATAATATCAGCACTCCTTGAAAACCTGGAACACACTTCACAAGTGTAACGGAGGACTCACTCTGTTCTGCAGGACGAGGATCTGCTGAGATCGGCCTCTCCATCCTCCTGGGTTACACAGGACCTGCTGGATACTGACGTCCTCTCCCACCTCACAGCTCAACACCTGACGACACACACTGGGTCATCATGACTAATGACGTGAATCAGTCAAACCTAACTTCAGGAACACTATTCTAGAGCCAAAACAATCTCTGCCACTTTCATTTCCTATTATCACTTTGAAACAGTCACACACACACACACCTTGTGGGCCATTCTCAGCTCCTGCTTGCAGGTCTGGATCTGGTTGCGGTATTCAGCCATCTTGAGTTGTGCCGCAGAGAGTTTCTCCTGAAGGGATTTCACTAGCGGGCTGTTCTGCATCGCAACACATGGGGAATAAAGAGTCGCCAGTGTAGCGAATGATAACGAATGATGTCATGACACAACTTTACCTCCAGATAGTCGTTCACCGCCCTTGAAGTGCTGGCCGTCTTTGCAGGATTGAGTAACAGTGTGGCCTGAAGCTGCAGTAATGAGACGATGAGGATGAACTGAGCAGAACGGATCTCCAGCTAACGGTTGTGTGTGTGTGTGTGTGTGCGTTACCTCTTTCTCCAGCTGTTTGACGCGGTTGTTTGCTTGTTTGGTTTTGGTTTTCTCTCGCTCTATTTCTGCTGCTAATTCTCGGTTCTTTTTCGACACTTCCACGATTTTGGATGCCGCTGCATCTCCTGCCAAACCAGCAGTTCCTTGAGGAAAACGTCAAGATTTAGTACACCAGACAGATATTCAGTGGCACACCACACTTAATGCACGACATGAAACACTTCACAATACATTTTAGGGCTGGGTATTGACACAAATTTCACAATTCGATTTGATTTCGATTCACAAGCTTGCAATTCGATTCGATTTCGAGTCCGATTCGATTCGAATCGATATTGATTATTTTGGATATCAGTTACAATAAATGGCAATTTTCTCAAGGGAATCAAATCTCTTAACTAATGTTAAACTATGGGAGTCTAGTTGTAGCCTATAGGCTTCATTAGCCTAATATGAAGGTAATAATGAACTGTTTTGTAGCTATACAAACACTTAAATTACACTTTTATTTATTTATGATTATATGAAATATAAACATTTAAATAATGGCTGCCATAAAAACTTGCCAGATTTATTCAAATATGCATTAAATATTGAAGAACATAATGCATATGTAATATGGTGTATATATTTAGCAAAATGCTCCTCTCTGGAGTTATTTTTTGTATCTGTCTAACGAGTTTATGTGTGTTTTCTGAGGTAAATATGACGATACATTGATTATAAGCTGTTTAACTGACGTCTTTCCACGGTTGAAACGCTGATTGAGTGAATCAATGTGACATGATCCGGATTTCGATAAGTTGTACTCTATCTTTAACACACTTTCAGACGCTCATTCATGTTTATTTGGCGCTGTGACTGGTATTATTAAGCCGGAAGAGAGATCAGCGCTGCTGCTTCTCCAGAGCGATCTCACGCCACAGCGACAAAACACTATTTATGTTTTTGAATTTCTAAAGAAAATGAACGTAATTTGAAAATTGAGACTTTGTTTCATATCAATAGTAACAAAGGACAAAGATTAATGTGATTTTTTGGATGCGCGCATCCGCGATACAATGATCCATTCATTCAAATGAAACAGGGCGACTAATCGATTCTTGAGATTTAAGAATCGATATCGGTTCGTAAAAATGAAAATCGATTAATATCGAGAAATCGAATACATTTAGTTCAAATAAGTCAGGATATTAATACTTTTACTCATCAAGGATCAGGTTTATATAGAAGCTTGTTTCCACCACAGAATAATAAATAAAAAAGGTAATTGTGACTTTTTATCTCAGAATTGTGTGATATAAATTCGCAATTGTATGTAATAAAGTCAGAACTGTGAGATATAAACAAGTTTACAGTATTTCTCACAATTACGAGTTTCTATCTCGCAATTCTGACTTTATAACTCGCAATTGTGACATAAAAAGTCGCAATTACCTTTTAAAATGTTTTATTCTGTGGCGGAAACAAGCTTCCATGGGTTTATTATCAGTGACTAAAACTATTGCAACATTTCTGTTAACTAGAATAGAATTGAAGTATTAGTTGAAAAAACGTAAACATTGCCTCAGCAATAAACAGACTTTTTTTTCTACTAAAACTGAAATAAAATAAAAACTGATAAAATGATTAAAGCTCATAAAGAAATGACTAAAAATTAAAACTAATTTTTAAACTAAAAGCCAATTCAAATTAGTGAGAAAACTAAAATAAAAAACTATTAAATAATTGTCAAGAATGCATTAATCTGATCAAAAGTGACAGTAAATATATTTATAATGCTACTAAAGATTAATAAATAAACACAAATTACTGTTTCCACAAAAATATGAAACCGTTTTCAACACTGATGATAATAACGAACGTGTCTTGATCATCAGATCCTCATATTAGAGTGATTTGTGAAGGGTCATGTGACACTGAAGACTGGAGTAATAATGCTTTGATCACAGGAATAAATGACACTTTACTATACATTCACATAGAAAAAAAACTTCTGTTTTTCTGAATTAATGAGTTAATTATCCCAGAACAAGATCATTTTTCATGGAAAAAAGGTTTTGTGATTATCTCAAAAACTCGTTATTTCAGAAAAACAGAGTAGATTTTGTTTACGAATGCAATACACTTGACAGCTGATTTACATTGCAATAATACTCTGTACAGTGTACTCATAAGTGTGCTGTACAGTAGTGTGTGTCCTGTACCCGCTAGAGCCAGCCGCTCCTCCTCGCTCCTCTTCCTCAGGTGTTTGAGCTCGAAGTCTTTCTCGCTCAGCAGTTTGTGGAGCCGGCCGTTCTCGTCTCTCAGCTCCCTCAGCCGATCATGCAGCTGCTGGTTTTCCTCCTGGATCACCCTGAACGGTCACTCGTTAATATCAGATATCAATATCAATTCTACAAACAAGCCCTACAATTTAATAAAATAACACATAATTCTTATGATGATTTCTTATTTAATATTGCATCTTCAATAAACGTATCATGGTGTGCCGTTTCCAGCGCTTCCAAACACTGAATCATTTAATCAATTCTTTCAATTGATTCAAAGTTTCGAAAAGATTCGTTTCTCCCATCACTAACTATTACAACTAGAAAAGCATAGTGAAGGGAAGTGTGTTAACTAAAGTGAGATCTTGCTTTGAAAGGATCTGTAATGAAAACACACAAACGGTTGTAGGTTCCCTAAGTAGGGCTCGACCTGCAGTCCGTCTGATGTTGAGTACGGATCGCCTCAGGTGTAGTTCTGCTGATGATCATTGGTGTGTGTGTGTGTGTCAGTCACCTGGCCTGGAACCGCTCCTCCTCCTCCTCTTCCTCCTCCTGCTGTGTGGAGAGGCTGATGAGGTCCAGGCCGCTGTGAGGAAGAGGAGGAGCCCTGGATCTGCTCTTCTTCATCTGCTGTCTCCTGTGCTCCTGCTGCTCCTGGAGAGCCTGGAACTGAAGCCTGAGCTGCTGCTTTATCTCCTCGCCGTCAGCGTCCATCACTGAGAGAACATCACACACACACTAATGCAGTTACGGAGGACACAGACCTGCTTCAGACACACACCTGTCTGTCAACATGACAGAAGAGGCTCTTACTCATCTATGTCCATTAGTTGTGTATTTTTTTTACTGTGTTTAACATGGTCATGTTCAACATTACTCTGTTTGTGCCTATTTACAGTCACATAGCAAGCTTTGTGTGCCTTTCTGAACTAGTTTATAGCTGTTATTAGTTAGCTTTAGCTATACCTTAGTTAACATGAACCGTCTTTGATTTTTAACAAAGATTAATAAATCCTTTAACAAATGTATTGCTCATTGTTAGTTAATTTATTAATTAGCTAATGTTAACTAATGAACCTTATAGTAAAGTGTTACCTTTTTTATTGATGTGTGATATTGTTTTCAGTATCATGTTTACTTTGTGTTAATGTTTTCTAATCTGAAACCACTGTAACTGTGCGAATAAAATGCACTTTTATCACTAATACCACTATCAGCTTCAAACCGAAACAAATGAACGTTTAATCGTTATCATACAAACGTTACGAGTCCTGAGATGATTCAGTTTATGACTTACCGGATGAATTTAGAAAGACTTCCGTCAACCTAGTTAAGATTTGGTTTTGGAGTTGATATGTTTTTTAAGTCAATTTTATTATAATGGAGTAACAGAGAGAGATACTGAAGGATTGGCGAGGCGTTTCCCGTCCGTTTGTTTACGCGACCTGCTAGCCTGGTGACATGGTAACGCGAGGCCGCGCGCACAGACGAGTTTAGCTTGAGATCCTCCGGAGAGTTACTGCACATCCGCGGCTGTTCTCGTCATAGTAGACATAATAAATATTGTTATTTTAATTGATTACGTCTATGGTTTCAAGTATTCTATACTGTTATTTCTTCTTCTAGAATCTCAATTACTAAAATTAAAATTACTAAAAATTATTGTTTTTGAGTATTAAGTGTGAAGAAAATACTTTCAGTGTTGCTCATTACTCTGTCTAGTACAATAGCATCCCAATTTCTACAAAATAAAGATTTGTTCATCTTTTTTTATTGAGGAATCCAACAGTTATTGTTGCATTCCAGTACATACATGTATAAAACAAAGAAAAAGAAGAAGAAGGGAAAGCTAAATGAAAACATATAAACTGCAGAGATAATCCTCCCTAGAGAGGAAGTCCTGCACACTAATGAGGCGGCGATGCTATTGCTATCAAGATCATAGAGGAAACCAGATCAGTCTAAACCAGTTCTTTCAACCAAAGTTCAGTCTTTATACACTGTAAAATATGATAGAATTGCAAATATATCAGTCCAAAATGGAATTAACTTATAATAGAGATAATAAGTGTGCAACAGAGCGGCCTGACATGCATCACAAACGAACATCTGGAGAACTACTGTGGCTATTGTTTTACCACAGCGAGGACAAATACATCTTAAATGAACAGAATATCTATGAACTATTACTATTAGTGACCCTCTGTATGAATATTCTTGGATAACAGAGTTATACAGCAGAGATGTAATGTGCCTGACCCCATCCAGATGTAAGATGTTTCTCTGCGTGAGAACATTATGTGTGTGTGTGAGAGAGTGTGTGAAGATAGGCCAGTAATAATACTGGACATGAACATGTTTGTTGACACACGGTCCTTTAGAAGACATGTTGAACCGACCCGAGTCTCTGAGGACATCACTAACCCCAAGGGGACGCCTCTGCTTTAATTTAATCCAGACGTCAGAGAGCGATTGGACATTACCCTGGGTGTGACCGGCTGTTTCCCGACTTCATAAACCATGATGAAAGACACATAATACAATTAGGCAATATCTGTGAGAACACTGTGTGCTTCAATGAAATCAGAGCATTAATACAAAACTGACTGGAACTACTTTATTACACTGTTTTAGTGCACACTTTCCAGCCAATCGGAGTAGAGTATTCAGACAGATGATGAATAAACCAATAGGCCTATATCAATAAAGGTGACTTGACTTCTAACACTGGGAAACAGAAAGTCAAGCCACTGATTAACTGGATTTTGGCATGTAATATTAAATCATTTCCTGAACAGCTTGACCACAGAATAGGGCATCTACACACAACTGGCATCGCAACATGAAGACAATGTGCAGAGTGTGTACATGCTAATAAACACCACAGAATAAGAGAGTGTACGGTGAAACACGACACAGAATAAAAAAAATATTTTTCTCAGAATTGCATGATATAAAGTCACAATTGTGTTGTATAGTATAGTAGTCGCTTAAAGTCAGTGAGAAACAAACTTGCAATTGACTTTTTTCATGTTTATGTCAGAATTGCGAAACACAAATACACAATTATCTTTTAAAATGTTTTATTCTGTAGTGGAAACGCTTCCACACATCTCAGATCTCACATGAGAGTAAAATAAACAAGTCTTTAATGAATTACAGTTTTTTTATTGGCAAAGATAAACAGAAGAGAGCCTCAAAATATATGTCACTCTAAAAGTATAATATTGTGAATTTCATTTGAAATATCAAACAAAAGAAGCCATAGTTATTTCAATCGATCACTCTACAAAAGAACACGCGACACTTGTTCCTTTCACACACACACACACACACACACTCTCAGTCAGCAGAGGTAAAGTCTTTCTTTCTGTTCTGTGCGTTATATATTTCACAAATATAACTAGAATCACAATTTGTTATGATTGTTATTCTGGAATTTCTTTAATCTACTTATATTACACAAATCTCAAAAGATAAGGTACAAAGGTACTCATGCCACATCAACATTAAAGCAGCAGAAATCCCCCAAATACATCAGTTTGTTTCTGATATTATACATAAATACAGTTGGCAGATACAAAAATATTAACTATCCCCCCTTACAACGTTTCTCAAACAAGCCAGGCAACAAAATGAACACAGCAACCTTTTTACAGAGGTTCATCAAATGTTTAAATAGGATACTGTAATTAAAAAAGTCCTAAACGATGTATGCAATAAATACAAAAGCGCCACCTTAATACGAGGCAGTATTAGGGACACCGAACGCGTTCCTCTTCACTTCTCCTGAGCCTTCTGCTCCAGGGCTTTCTGCGCTTGAGCCGGCTGGAGGACGTACTCCTTGTACATAGAGTAGATCACTCCTGCAACACACACACACACACACACACACACAGGTCAGGCTTGACAGCAGGGTTACGGTGAGGATGAGGAGGCGTGAGGACTGTGCTTTACCCAGAGTCATGGCTCCCACCACGAAGCCCTGCGCCGCCACACGCATGTGGATCAGGTGCACCGACATCTTCGTGTCGCCTCGGTTCTTCATCTTCATCAGCCTGTACGCCACGATGCCAAAGAAACCCAGCAGGCCTGAACACACACATTCAGTGAACACACAGCTTGACAGGTCAGCACGTGTATAAAAGCAGAGCTAGCGATGCACTGATACCAGCATTTTAGCCTAAAACCGATAACTCTTTATATCTGGAAGACGATAACCGATAACTCTTTATATCTGCGGTCCATAACCGATAACTCTTTATATCTGGAATACGATAACCGATAACTCTTAATTTTTGGAATACGATAACCGATAACTCTTATATCTGCGGCCCATAACCGATAACTCTTTATATCTGCGGTCCATAACCGATAACTCTTATATCTGCGGCCCATAACCGATAACTCTTTATATCTGCGGCCCATAACCGATAACTCTTTATATCTGCGGCCCATAACCGATAACTCTTTATATCTGCGGTCCATAACCGATAACTCTTATATCTGCGGCCCATAACCGATAACTCTTATATCTGCGGTCCATAACCGATAACTCTTTATATCTGCGGTCCATAACCGATAACTCTTATATCTGCGGCCCATAACCGATAACTCTTTATATCTGGAAGACGATAACCGATAACTCTTTATATCTGCGGCCCATAACCGATAACTCTTTATATCTGGAATACGATAACCGATAACTCTTTTTATCTGGAAGACGATAACCGATAACTCTTTATATCTGGAAGCCCATAACCGATAACTCTTTATATCTGGAATACGATAACCGATAACTCTTTTTATCTGGAAGACGATAACCGATAACTCTTTATATCTGCGGTCCATAACCGATAACTCTTTATATCTGCGGTCCATAACCGATAACTCTTATATCTGCGGCCCATAACCGATAACTCTTTATATCTGGAAGACGATAACCGATAACTCTTTATATCTGGAAGCCCATAACCGATAACTCTTTATATCTGGAATACGATAACCGATAACTCTTTTTATCTGGAAGACGATAACCGATAACTCTTTATATCTGGAATACGATAACCGATAACTCTTTATATCTGGAATACGATAACCGATAACTCTTTATATCTGGAATACGATAACCGATAACTCTTTATATCTGCGGTCCATAACCGATAACTCTTTATATCTGGAATACGATAACCGATAACTCTTAATTTTTGGAATACGATAACCGATAACTCTTTATATCTGCGGCCCATAACCGATAACTCTTTATATCTGGAATACGATAACCGATAACTCTTTTTATCTGGAAGACGATAACCGATAACTCTTTATATCTGCGGTCCATAACCGATAACTCTTATATCTGCGGCCCATAACCGATAACTCTTTATATCTGGAATACGATAACCGATAACTCTTAATTTTTGGAATACGATAACCGATAACTCTTTATATCTGCGGCCCATAACCGATAACTCTTTATATCTGGAATACGATAACCGATAACTCTTTATATCTGGAAGACGATAACCGATAACTCTTTATATCTGGAATACGATAACCGATAACTCTCTATATCTGGAAGACGATAACCGATAACTCTTTATATCTGGAAGACGATAACCGATAACTCTTTATATCTGGAAGACGATAACCGATAACTCTTTATATCTGGAAGACGATAACCGATAACTCTTTATATCTGGAAGACGATAACCGATAACTCTTTATATCTGGAAGACGATAACCGATAACTCTTTATATCTGGAATACGATAACTGATAACTCTTTATATCTGGAAGCCCATAACCGATAACTCTTTATATCTGGAAGACGATAACTGATAACTCTTTATATCTGGAAGCCCATAACCGATAACTCTTTATATCTGGAAGACGATAACCGATAACTCTTTATATCTGGAAGACGATAACCGATAACTCTTTATATCTGGAAGACGATAACCGATAACTCTTTATATCTGGAAGACGATAACCGATAACTCTTTATATCTGGAAGACGATAACCGATAACTCTTTATATCTGGAAGACGATAACCGATAACTCTTTATATCTGGAAGACGATAACCGATAACTCTCTATATCTGGAAGCCCATAACCGATAACTCTTTATATCTGGAAGACGATAACCGATAACTCTTTATATCTGGAATACGATAACCGATAACTCTTTATATCTGCGGTCCATAACCGATAACTCTTTATATCTGCGGTCCATAACCGATAACTCTTATATCTGCGGTCCATAACCGATAACTCTTTATATCTGCGGTCCATAACCGATAACTCTTATATCTGCGGCCCATAACCGATAACTCTTTATATCTGGAATACGATAACCGATAACTCTTAATTTTTGGAATACGATAACCGATAACTCTTTATATCTGCGGCCCATAACCGATAACTCTTTATATCTGGAATACGATAACCGATAACTCTTTTTATCTGGAAGACGATAACCGATAACTCTTTATATCTGCGGTCCATAACCGATAACTCTTATATCTGCGGCCCATAACCGATAACTCTTTATATCTGGAATACGATAACCGATAACTCTTAATTTTTGGAATACGATAACCGATAACTCTTTATATCTGCGGCCCATAACCGATAACTCTTTATATCTGGAATACGATAACCGATAACTCTTTATATCTGGAATACGATAACCGATAACTCTTTATATCTGGAAGACGATAACCGATAACTCTTTATATCTGGAATACAATAACCGATAACTCTTTATATCTGGAAGACGATAACCGATAACTCTTTATATCTGGAAGACGATAACCGATAACTCTTTATATCTGGAAGACGATAACCGATAACTCTTTATATCTGGAAGACGATAACCGATAACTCTTTATATCTGGAAGACGATAACCGATAACTCTTTATATCTGGAATACGATAACCGATAACTCTTTATATCTGGAAGACGATAACTGATAACTCTTTATATCTGGAAGCCCATAACCGATAACTCTTTATATCTGGAAGACGATAACCGATAACTCTTTATATCTGGAAGACGATAACCGATAACTCTTTATATCTGGAAGCCCATAACCGATAACTCTTTATATCTGGAAGACGATAACCGATAACTCTTTATATCTGGAAGACGATAACCGATAACTCTTTATATCTGGAAGACGATAACCGATAACTCTTTATATCTGGAAGACGATAACCGATAACTCTTTATATCTGGAAGACGATAACCGATAACTCTTTATATCTGGAAGACGATAACCGATAACTCTTTATATCTGGAAGACGATAACCGATAACTCTTTATATCTGGAAGACGATAACCGATAACTCTTTATATCTGGAATGCGATAACCGATAACTCTTTATATCTGGAAGACGATAACCGATAACTCTTTATATCTGCGACCCATAACCGATAACTCTTTATATCTGGAAGCCGATAACCGATAACTCTTTATATCTGGAAGCCGATAACCGATAACTCTTTATATCTGGAAGCCGATAACCGATAACTCTTTATATCTGGAAGCCGATAACCGATAACTCTTTATATCTGGAAGACGATAACCGATAACTCTTTATATCTGGAAGCCGATAACCGATAACTCTTTATATCTGGAAGCCGATAACCGATAACTCTTTATATCTGGAAGACGATAACCGATAACTCTTTATATCTGGAATACGATAACCGATAACTCTTTATATCTGGAAGCCCATAAATGACATATTGGCTATCAATAATTAGAAACGAAATCTCAATTTTTAATATTCAAGCGATACCCGACCCTGAACAGTGCACATCTGAAGTGTCTCAGCCGGAAGAAATAATACATTATTTATCCGCTTTAATATATCTGCCCAATATAATTATTAGGCCAATAATGATAACTTATATCTCCAGATATCGATATGTTGGCCGATATATATTGTGCATCCCTAAGGAAAACCTTTGCGGTTTGATTTAAAACAGGCTTCACACACACCAGGGGCAGAGATAATGTGAAATAAAGTGATCGTAACAATACTTCTGGGTAAAGAGATATAATGCGCTTATTAATAGACTATTATTAAGAGTGAAATATGAGGGAGGAGAGGTTATGAGAATTCACCTGCAGGGACAAACGGGTTCTCTTTGGCTTTTCTGATGAACTTGGACTCATTGTCTTCATACTCGATGGCGGTCATCTTGACTAAAGACAAGCACAACAAAACAAGATTAGATGTCATAAATGAAAGGCCATTCTCTAACACTTTACTGCAGACGACCGCAATTACAACATTACAGAAATCAAACAGAAAATAATAAATTGATACAGAAGCGCTAATGAATTAGTCAATCTCGACAACTGATGTGTTGAATGGTTCTTAAACACACACACATATTAAGAGATCCATATATGAACCATGTCATCCTGTAAAACATTACATCATCAACTATTATTACAAAAGAAGACCATTACATTTACTACATCTACATTACATCTACTACTATTACTATTACAAAGGGTCTCATGTGTGAAGCATAGACTGTAAAAAAAGGCACAGGTTATGATACATACATCATATAAACTTTAAGGAAATGAGTCATCTCTTCTCAATCACTGAGCAAAAGTGATAGTCATGTCATGATTTATGAAGGTCAAATGACACACACGGGCCATTTAAAAAGTAGCTTTACACCATTTTAACAACATAAATTAATTGTGTAATGAAATGTAAACAAACATGACATTTAGATATTATAAGCTTCAATTAAAGAAGATGAGACATTTCCCCAAGAGATCGTTTACAGGTTAGATACTCTCTAAAAAAGGTCGTCTTATGTTATTTAAACATATACAAGCAACATATTTAGATATTAAATAAAGCGTATAACATACGTAGTTGTGTAGCTTCTGCTGTACACTGGACTGAAGCTCTTCTCTGCCGGTTGAACTGCTGTGTGTGCGTGACCGACAGGCGTGCACGGGAACACGATGATGTAACACGCCTTACATCAAACTAGTGACGCAGGCAACTTTACAAAATGGTCTTTTTAAAATAAAATTACTGTTCGGCGTAACTGTTAAATTACACAACCTGAACAGTTTAAGTTGTATATTTTATGAAAAAGATATGAAAATAAATTTGAGAAACCCATTTATTTCTCAATGGAATCTTGAATTTCCATCTGAACTTTTATTTTGAAGAAATCTGCGGTTTCAAACAAGTTCCTTGTTTCCTTGTCAGTCAGGAGGCGTGACCTCTATGGGCGTGATGTACGGGATGTACTCATGTACGTGTATGTGTGCTTCTGAGTTCAGGCCAGGTCATCGTTACTCATCAACGACAGCCTGTAATTTACATTTTACATTATAAACATAAAGGGCGTTTATTTGTCCCAACGTGTCTTTCTTTCTTTCTTTCTTTCTTTCTTTCTTTCTTTCTTTCTTTCTTTCTTTCTTTCTTTCTTTCTTTCTTTCTTTCGTGTTTGTTAATAAATTCAAATTGTATCATCTGATTTTTCACTGAGGTCGGTGTTTCCCTGTTAAACAAATGTGCTAGACTAGGGTTGAATAGCCTAACAGTTAGGTGACTGTTTTCTGAACTCAAATATGACCAAATATTCAGTGTTATTCACAACATGTTACATGAAGGTAGTATATGTGGAGGAAATATATTAGTGGGATATCATTTAATGACATTAAAGGATGCAAAGTCATGGTGAAATGTGCAAAACAGGTTGTGCAAGTGAAGGATTTACTGTTTTACGTGAATATTGGGACACTAGGCTATAAAGCTTGTAAAAATAGAGCCCAACGCCACTTTCAGTTTCGCTTTAAATAAATTAGTTTGGGCTGTAAAATAAATGTTTTTTTTTTTTTTAATGAATAGCTCTATCTGTTGGCTATATTTCATAGGCTGTATACTACTTACATTTCATTCTTGTTTTTTTTTTCCCTGAATACCGTTTGCTTTATGTATGTTTGTAAACATTAATTTTTATTTACCGGTATTTTACATTATTTTTGAATGTTGAATGAAAAAAAAAGATTTTTTGCGAATGCGAATGTATTTTTAATAGTCCATATTTACAGATGGGGTTGTGCCAATAAAACATATTGTGCTCATTACTCATTGAAATACATGCATGTCCTCTACACCTTTTTTTTTTTTGTTTTTTGCATGTCCTCTACTTTGGGAACAACATGTGCTGTGACTGACGGTGAACAACAGTGAAACACCGGCACAGCCCACATAGCGCAACAGACCACAGTTTAGCCGAATTACTTTTTCTCTGAACCGAAACTCGAAAAAGGAATTTCCCTCACATGATGAGATATGAGAACTACGTCTATAACAACCTTTTTTTTTTTTTTTTTTTTTTTTTTTATATTTCCAAAATTATAAATTAATACATTAGAAACAACAATTCACATATATTTTCCAAATTATTCTTGACATTAAATGAACACGCAGCACGTATCAGCTGATTTAAATACGCGACTGTATGCAAATTATTTCGCGGATGCCACTTTGAGAACAGGAACTTTGCGCAGCAATGAGACGGGTCCGTCTAACACAAAAGCAAATACATGATATTGAGATTAATTTGAACTATCTCTTCATGGATGCACACAAATGAAGTAATCATGAGCTATTTTTACTATTCAGTGCTTGAACAAGACTCTATAATGCTTTAGTGAAAAATAAATATTTCGCTGTGGAGTAAACATATTGTCATGACCAATTAAAATATTTGAGGTTGCATGATCCCCCACACATGCATGTTTTCTAGATACATGCAACAAGCATCCACAACATTAGCCTACTCATTAATTAACTGTGTTGCTAAAACAAGACATGTTGTATTGATGCAATACGTTTTTGTGTTGGTATCTTGGCTGGTTTAAGAATAATATCATGAATATTTTTATATTCTTCATATTCCCTGTGGTGGTCCGTTCATCACAGCAGCAGGAAACATTTTTTTTTTTCTTTAAAGGTCAATATTTGACTCCCAATTTGATTTCCAGATGTATTTTAACCTTTATAAACCCTTTTTTCTAACCTAATCAAATGTAATCATTAAATAATTACATTCCTACTATTATGTAATCAGAATAATAAGAAGTTTTTTGTCACCATCAAATGAAACCAGCAACATCTGCAAAAAGTGACACAGAATCTGCATCTGAGTGCTTCATATAACAGTGAAATTATTCATTTAAGTACTACTTGTACTTACTTTTGGGTTAGGATTAGGATTTGGGAGAGTTGCATGTAAGTATGCACAATATATCATAATTAACAAGGACACTATAAAATAAAGGCTTACAGTTTCATTCTCAACAAATCATTGTTACAGTGTATTTAAGTACTCAGTAATATCAGTGAATTACATGTATAGGGCTAGGGCAGGAATAGGATTTGGTTGAGGGTTAGTAATTATGCATAATTTACTGTTATTATTATGCTAAGTACACATATGTAACAAGGGCACTGTAAAATAAAGTGCTTTTCATTTACGGTAAATAATTGATTTAATGCATCTCATGTTGTAGCAATGCATTTACACACGAGGGATGCTGTAATACTAACCAATCAGACCCCAAACTGCGTTTCTAAAGAAGCATCTTACACTATAACCTGTGATGAAAAACATTATATTTCAAGTAATTTTAGTCCGCAGTTAATCACATGCTAGCACAAATTACAACCCTCACTCTCGTAGGTTTTAGTTGCAAAGAAAGGTGTGACGAGTAAAAGAAAATTTCAAATGTGATGGTGTAGAAATAATTTGGACTGGTAGAATGGTAGTTTACATTTCAATAGTTTTTATTGTTTAAATTGCTCCATATAAACACAATCAGATCAAATATAAATTCCTCATAGGCAAAATATATGATTTCTACTTTGAAATTAGTAAACGCACGTCGATACCAAGCCAACAGACGACTCAGTAAAAGAGTACATGTTTCTAACTTAGTAATTGGCTTTGTGTGCCAATGCTTGTTACATTTCTTGGATAGAAGTGTCTGCCAAATGAACAGGTGTAAATGTATAATGTAAATAAAACATGCAAAAATATCATATACGGAATAAACCAAGTAAAGAAGATGTCAGATCTATAAATCCCCTTGTGTAAATAATGAAAAACACCATTACACTAATAACCTAAACGACAAATTAAACACCCAAGTAAAATGTGTTTAAAACAAATCAATCTACATTCTGTACCCCAAACCCATACTGATTATAAAATCCTACTTAAATTGAAATTGTACACACGACCGACTGTCCAGCTAAGATGAGGTGAAGCTGTAGGAAACAGAGGAGGTGTAGTCAACACTGCCCCTGCGTGATCCGCTTCTGGAGCCGGTGCGAGACCCGGTGCGAGAGCCTGGCCCTGACGACACGTTGTACGGGCTGCTTATGCCTTTAGTTGACATGGAGGTAGCCTGGAGCATCTTCATGCCATTGTTCTCCTCCACCATGCAGTTATCCATTGCCTCTTTGTATGAGATCTTAAGCTTGGTTTTCGGACAGGTGAGGTTCTTAATGTAGTTCCTCGTGTCCTGCAGCTTTTGCGCCCCTCTGCCGTCCAGCCATCCTCTCCGGATCGACTCCTCGATGCTCAAGCGGTGGCCGTTCACTGGATCTATGAGTCCACCGGTCAGGTACTGGAACTCCAGGAACCGCTGCCCTGCCTCGTACGGCAACCACTTTTCCTTCATGGCCTCAGCGGCAGAAAGTCTCCTCTTGGTCTTGACATCCTCAAAGCCGGCGTACGCCTTCTGTGCTGGCTTCAGCTTGACAGCCATGTCTTCATCAATAATGCTTTGTTTATCAGCGTCATTCAGAGAGAGTCTCTGGCCAGTGGCAGGATTGACAATTCCCCCAGTGCAAACCTGGGCCTCCAAGAGCCGCTGAGCGGTGAGGTTGTCCAGTATTCCCCGCCGCTGGGCCTCGGAGATGGTTATCTTCTCTAGGGTCTCCGAGTCAAAGATGGCTCCCACGGGACTCTGGTCGTCAAATATGTCAGATGGAGGGGAGAGCGTAATGGACACACTGGCGAAGCGTTTGCGGACGGTCGGAGATGATGGCGAGATCTGCGTGGGACTACTGCAGGTAGCAATGTCGTCAGGACTGCTGGAGCAGATGGCGAGCTCCGAACTACTGCTTTTACTCGTGATCAGAGATGCAAACTCGGTGAGTGTCACAGTCCCGGCACGGTACTTCTCCAAGGTTTGTCTATCTATAATTCCCCTCTCTAGGGACTCTTGAATGTCATACTGGTTTCCGGTTTTGCGATCAACAAGCAAACGTCTGGTTCCCTCAGAAGTTTCGATAGTGATCTCCTCCCACTCGCACTCTTGTTCGGAAAGCTCCAGAAACGTGTCGTAGTCGATCAACTCTCGGTGGAAGGCTTCTCGTACGGTCATCTCTTTGCCGGTGTCGGGGTCTACGATCACCACTCGCCTCTTGCGAAGTGTGTTCTTTTGAGAGGTCGCCTGCTTCGGCTTCTGCTTGTCCTTCAAAGGCAGAAGGATGAGCCCAGTCTTGGGATCCGTGATGCACCGCTTTTTCAAATCCAGATACGTGAGGTTTTCATGGGTGTTGGGGTCAAAGAAACCTTTGGTATCGTCGCCATCGTACGACAAAATCTCATTCATTTCACGGTCAAAGTAGCCTTTCCTGTACGCCACTTCCACATCAATTCGATGGCTCCCTTTGGGATCTATGATGCCGCCACTGGCAATCTGAGCTTCCAGCAGTCGAATCCCATGACCTTTCTCTATGAGCTCCTTCTCAATAGCTTGAAAGAGCGAGATTATGTTTCCCGTGGCAGGATCTTTGTATCCCGTCACGGCCTTCTCAGCAGAGAGTAGCTTGTCTTTAAACTCCTTTCCCACGAGGGCTCTCCTCCACGCCTCTTCCACCGTCATGCACACGTTGTTGACCGGATCAATTATGAAACCCGAGGCAGCCTGGGCCTCCAGGAGCTC